CAAGTTTTACATAATGGACAGATTCTTTGGTCTGGTGGTTGATAGCGTTTAACGTATCGTCCAGTTTCAATTGCTAGTTTGTGGTTGCTTAATCTTAGCTTTGTGATTGCTACTCTATGATTGGTGTTTCTTACATTTGTGAGGTAATTTTCGTAGTCATGGGTAAGTTTAAATTTCCTAAAAGTTCTCAGTTTGTTTTTTTGATGCGGGTCCTTTCGTTCATCGTTGTGTATTTCGCTAATCCATGTTTGCTGTTCTATGTCAAAGAGTCTCTGTCGTATATAGTTCATGATTGCGGGAGTGTTAGTTTTCGCTGACCATATGTCGCCAAGACCTGCGAGATTTAATAGTCGTTTTAATTTGCTTGACCAAAGTTCCTTTTTGTCTTGACCAATTTGGTCTGTATTGTGACCAAGACTGTATTGAGACCTCGTCTCCAGGGCGCTTTTCCCTGGCTTTGGCCGGGGGAAAGCGCCCTTGGGACGAGGTTTGGGCGTGGTGGTTTATCACAAATTTATATTTACACTGGCGGGAGCATTCCTAACTCACTGCTTCATTCTAAACTGTGCCCCTAGAAGTCTGGCAACAAGTCGTTGTAAATTAGTAAAATTATCCATGAAAGCCCTAACGGGGGGGGGGGGGGGGAGATAGTATATTTACAATTTATTCATGGCAATTCGACCTTACCATTATGTCACTAGCTGGCCCAACAGGGTCTTTCGGTAAGCGCAGGGGTCAAGACTATCCTAGCCTTCGAAGAAGGGCCGGTAAGCTACACGCAGGATCATTATCGTCACTTTAATCATCATCATCATTAAAATAGTATTACTGATGAATTCATTCTTTATTCATACACAAAAATATCATAACATACAAGCACATACTATCTACATACAGTTATAATTCTATCAGCAATTTTCCCTTTCACGGAATAAAATTAACAAACAATTCCTAAGAACCAACGATGATTAGTAACATTAAACCTGACTCTCATGGATTGTTTGTTTGAAAACGCAAACGTTTTTATGTATTTTGGCCTTGCTTCCACATTAAAACCATCAAAGACAGAGAATTATTATAAACAATGTTTCGAAAACGAAAATCGAAGTCTCTCCACTGTGGAGAGGCCTTTTAAAATAGGTTTTCGAAAACGCTGATGTCATAACTACTTATTCATTGCTTCGAGTACAGAGGGACAGCCTGTGAAAGACATGTTATTGGAATGAACTTCGTTTTTGATGGCTTATTGTGGACGGGAAGCCACATCGTCAAATGATTAAATTTAGGGTTTCATAGGCAACGTGAAAAGGAATCAACAAATTTTCTTTTCTCCCGCCGGCCGATGAATTCCACTCTGAATATTTCAAGAGTGTGGAATAGGATTCATTTTCCGTTGTTCAACGTTGGGTGACATAATAAACATCGCCTTTCATGTTACTCATTCGGTCGCTAAAAACGAGCAGATAACTAACGTTAAAAATTTTCACTCCTGGAAAAAAGGTAGTGCTGGTAGTTCATAGTTTCCAAAAAATATGACACAAGATCACACATGACGATTTTAAAAACTAGAGAAAAATAGCCCCATTAAATCTGGATAAAACTTACGGAAATTCAGCCAAAAATAGTTAAAAGGTTAAAGACTATTATTATTATATTACTATATTCTCAACACAGTTCAAGGAACCATAAAATAAAATAATCAAACTAAACAAAAAATATCCAAGTTTTCACCCACAAAAATAGATTACCTGTATGATTGTTTTACCAGTAATATTATGTTCAACCTCTACACCCACTGGTAGAAACAGAAATAGCACAAAAACTAATCTTATTTTCCCTAATAGAAATAATAAGACTGATTAAAACTATCCAGTATTTTTTAAGGAGTTATAAGTAAAGCCCTTGCCACTATTAATATGAATATTAATATGACCCCACAAGCGGAATTCTCAATATGAATGAAAAGGGAGCCAAGCCTAATAGCAATACTATACCAATGTTGGGACAATTTGAATTTGGTATACTGTAGGAACTAAAGATAACTATTTGCAATAATTTGCAACGCAATAATTTGCAACGCATTGCGCGAATCGCCATGGCGCGTTGCACCCGAGAAGCAAAGTTTAAAGAAGTACAACGCCACTATATCAATATATATCAATCTAATTTTTTGCTATGTTATATAAAATTTATCCTCCTTTAACATATGTAAAAATTGAGGTTAAGAAGTGTTAAGCGGCGAAAGACGATTAGGTGATATTTAGTGGAAGGAGGAGGTATTCAACACTTTCAAATTAAACTCAAATTTTGGCATTATTGTGAAGTGTCTGTTAACATCTGCATGTGCTATTTGGATCATTTGCAAATATTATTCCAACAAGCTTCAACTTCAAGTTAGGACATTGTTGAAATAATGTGCAAATGAACCAGTGGGAGTGACTCAGCAAGTAATTCAACCCTTATCCAGGTGCAGGAGTCAACAGTTTGACTCAACACCTCAGCTGAGCAGCAGTTACAATTATTTAGTCTCTTGACTTCGAATAATTGAGGTTTCCAACAGAGCTGGAAACTACATTATCAATAATCAAAATAACCTAAAAATTATCTAAGCTAGAACTCAAAAATTTGGCATACAATCAAGGACAAAACAATTTAAAGTGAGTGAAATAAAAAAAGAATGCTTGTGATTGCACTGGTCACCAATCACAGAAACCACATTACTGACTATGGCTAAAGTAATACCAAATTAATAAAAAATGAATTATTATATATACTAGCCAAGAAAATAGGAGGGTCCCAACTTTTGTAAAACTTGAGAAGATAGGTCTAGGGAATTGTTATGTGTTGCATTTTGAGTTTGACAGGGACTATATTTTGCCTGCTCTCAACTGATCATTCCTCAGCTACTTGTGCTTAATTGTCTTAGACTTTAGAAAGCATCATTTTCCCATGTACTTTTTCTTGGTTTCTTAGCACTTACTCGATACTTATTCCCTAGTTTCTATAATCAATTTCTTTCAATTTATTACTTCACATTTCAACTAAGTACTTTCGCCTTTTATGCTGTCAGGGAAGTGAAAAACTTCCAATTTCTTGTAGTTGCAATTAGCTCACTGACTTTGTAACTACTACTGCAATTGTACTAATTGAATAAATAAGTTTTTGTTGTATCAAACCTGCAAAATCTGGACACAAATTATACATGCAAAAAAGATAGCTTGTTGAAATTATTTAATCTGTAGAAGCATATGGACTTTTGTGATTGGCAACAATTAACTGCAAAAGCCATCTATTATTAAGGGATATAAAAGTTCTTGATAGAACAAGTGTACAATATAAAACAGTGTTTGTTGTTTGTAAGCTAGAGAATTACTGTAGTCTTTCAGCAAGCTCTCCATTATTTTGAGGGAGTAGCAAGAAGTCACAGGAGAGCCGCACGCTGAAGAAGACACTCGCTATAAATGGAGAGCTTACTCGCAGGCTAACCAAACTGATGACGTACTGTTTCTCTGCTCATGTTCCAATCTTGTTTTACAATTGCTTCTGCAGGTTCATAAAAAGTGAAGCTTAAATACATGTACTGATACTTTGAAAAACAAGTTTCACTTTTGCAAAAATCTACATGCCAAAATTTGTTAGCTAAATATGCACGTCATTAACCTGAGATCAGGGTCAATTTTCGTTTCGCTTTGTAAATAACATTCTGGCGGGCAAGGCGAAACATGGCCATTAGAGAGAATGTATGAGAACAGCTAAAATTGGGCCTGATCTCAGGTTAGCATGTCATATTATTACACCTTGAAAGAAGGTTGCTTACCTTTTTGTTACATTGATATGTAAAATAATGTTCAAATTTTCTGAAACAAATCATGTACATAAAATTTTTATAGCTACAGCATCAGCATTGCTTATGATTTATGGTGAGGTGGGAAAGGGAGTGAAACTTCTCAGGGGAGGGTGGTAGGGAAAGAAAGCAGGAAGTGGGAATATCCTTTGGTGGAATATGACATGGGCTAGGGGGGGGCAATAACTGCTGTCAAAGGGGAAAGGAAGAAACTGAACTTCAGATTTAAAATTGAAGGCAAGTTAAAACAAAGGTTCAGATTCCAATGTTCACGATTTCAGGGCAAAAAAATATGCCAATATTGTTTTAGGACAAGGACCTAGATTTGAGTGCACAAACCACACATAGCACTTAAGTCAGTTGTTGTGCATCCTGTAACATTTTGGGAATTTCAACACATAATTTCTCAAAGCTAAAAGTTACATCAACCAGAGCATTTGGAGGTTTATCTTCAAGGGCTTCATATTATGGGCTTTTGATCTCTGACCTGGTTCCCACTTCCAAGTTTCTTTCTGGGGTAGATCTAGGGAGTGTGTAAAGGGTGCCTAGTCGACCCCTTAGGCAGAAACACGTTAAACTTTGTCTTCTATCAAAACCTGGTGAAAATTACAAAAATAGAGCAAAAATACTTCATCAAAATACTTTAATTTGCTCCTCAGAATGCTGGAAAACACAAAATTTATGAGGACTAAAACTGGAAAATGTTCCAGGGGAGAGTTTCTACATACTCCCCTAAATATGCCCCAGACTGAGTACCCCTGGGAAAAACTTTGTCCCTCCTCCCCACCTATAACACAGGTGCTTGCCATTTGACAGAAAAATCTGGTTGGGTGTCAAAAGCATTATGGTAAGCAATTTACCAGTTTACCACAGAATTTTCACATCCATTACAGTTTGAATCCAAAAAAGGGGATAATTTGTGTAGCGTGAGTCTGGAACCGAGAAGTTGGTAAATGGTAAGCAACATTCCGTTTGGTTCGTACCAACCGGAATGAAGGGACTACCTCAAAATGTGCTCCTCAATTTTCGGTCTGAAAAGTGACCTTATATACCATTTACCTAGCTTCCCTCCGGGATTTCCGAAATTTTCTGTCTAAAGGTAGGCACCATGTATGTAGAAAATCCTAGCTACAGAAGTGTGCTTAGCTATTGGTAATCAGTGGCAGTGTTCATAAATATCCACCACTTTATTAATCATCCAGCCAAAGACAAAATATCCAAAGCCTGCACCAAGGACCACAGCAAGACACAGCCACACATTGTACGTCATAAAGATCAACATGAGGAAATAACTGACAGTAACCTGCACAACATGAAGAAAGGTTTGAAGGAAATGATGCCAGTTGAATATTCGAGACCTGAAATACACAACAACAACAACACATGATGGGTTTAGCATTCAAGACCAGGACCCAACATTCGAACATCACCCAAGGCCTGTAACACCTTATACCTTATTGTTACTTTTAAATTTTGCATTTTTCGCTACAGTAAAAACAAAGTGAGATTAAAGCCCTGGAAATATAAGTCCTCGCAAAATTTAAAACCCATGTGCATTGTAGAAAATTCAAATCAGAGAAAAATGATTAACATGTCATAACAACAACACATACAGTGTGAGTATTGACTAATGCACATCCCAAACCATTAACTTGTTCTCCATTTTGCATCTTTCGCTTTGAAATAATTAACAATTATTCCTTGAGCCCAAATGGGCTCTGAGTCTGAGGCTATTGACTCAGAGGCCATGAGGGCAAGGGGAATAATTGTTTTAGTAAAATCCAAATGGTTGGTCAAAAATATCGAGAGAAAACAACTTTAGCTAGCAAAATGCGATTCAGCCGCCATTGTTTTGGTTTTCAAAGCCAGCGCTTTTCGCTATTAAGTGGGCAATAACATATAGCCTAGTAGTAGCTCAACCAATCAGAATGCAAAATTGATAACAGACCACTAGTTGGATTTTACTTTTTCAACATCAATTACAATGTAAAGATCCCACATACAGAATCTTGAAAATCTTATTCATTTAATTATACTTCTTCTTGCTTTTTTGGCTTTTTTATTAGGAGGTAATACACCACATACAAAATGTTTCTGTAAATTTGAAATTACTAATACAGTGAACCCCACTTTACAGACACCCGCTTAATACCAACACCTGATTATTACGGCCACTTTTCTTTGACCCTGGGGACAGAAAGCCTTTACATTTTCTCTAAATTCAACCTGCTTAATACGGACACCCAATAATGCAGACAATGGACACTTTTTTCTTGCCCAATGAGCAGATTCTCATATAAAGCCAACCTCACTAATGTGGACACTTTATTATTGTCCACTGTGTGCTGCAATAAACCTCTCTTTTTTGGAGTAAAAAGTATTTTTTTGGAGTATATTTTTTTCAAACGAAAGGTGTATACATGACCCCCTTAACACAGACACCCCGTTAATATGGACACTTTTCTTAGCATCCGTATTAACGGAGCTCGACTGTACTGTAGATGTTTTGTGCTCTTTTGATGACTTACTGATGTTGTAGAGTGAATTAATATAACTCTAGAATAATTTACCTTGGAGACTGCCCTCTTGATTCTGTGACAACAGTAGTCTGGGATGGTCCTATACCATATGTCTTTGTTTCAGACAAATCCACACTCACAAGATAGCTGTATCTTCTTTTCATAACCTCCCTAAACACTTTAAGACCTTCGTAGAGGGCAGCTAGAACAAAGATCCCAATGCAGGAGGCAACAATACCTGTTTTAAGAAATAATAAAATAATCCAGTTAACTCAAAAGTGTTCAACATATGAAGCAAAACTATTCAATACTCAGCTACATGTACAGGGCAAAATCATATTTCATTTTGGATAAGAATAGTTTTTGGAGAAGACAAAAAAGATTCCCCCTCCCTCGGGGGTTCTTTCCTTTCTCGAGCTTACATAAACAATGTTAAACTGGACTCAGTGTTGTTAAAAAGGTCATTTAATTTGACATGGTAATAATTTGCTGTCACTATTACCTTAATTTTACTACAAGATTAAAATCCTTCACATTTTACTTTCAAAACACCAATATCCTTTATATTTCAGTGTAATTGGGCATGAGAAGAGAACCACACAACATTGACAATTAATTTCTCTGGACAAGCATTATATATACAACATGTATATTATTTTCTCTCCATTTCTCAACAATCCTCTGGAAAAGGAAACACTGTATGACTGTAAAACTATAGTTTTCTGAAGATGTGAATTTGCAACAATGAAAACTGTATCTTGAAAATAACTCCTACCAATTCATTGCAACATTGTACAAGTTGGAAGAATGAAATGTAAGAAATTTAAAGAACAATAATTTATAACATTATTTTTTATTGATGTTGCCACCAGCACTACTTATACATTTTTATCAGCTATTCCTAATGTGTTAAACGGATGTTACCTCCTACAGTGTCTACTTTCCAATCTTCAAACAAAATAGTTGCATCCTTACTAGCATGGAAATACATCTGAAAAGAAAGAAAATGGAAATAACTCAGTTCAACAGGCAATGTTTATTTTTCAAGTACCAGTTGCACAAATGAACACCGGAGCCAACACTTGTTGGTACACCTATTTCAAAAGAAAAGGGTAATAAATAGGGCTGTGTTGATACACTGATGTATCGGTGAACCATGGTACAGTCGACTCCCGATAACTCGAACCTTCAAGGGGAATCGAAAGAGGTTCGAGTTATCGGGAGCTCGAAGAAAATAGCCGAGAGTAAGGTAAAAAACAGTTTTTACTGCACAGTGAACATTTTAATCACATTTAATTGTAGAAATGTCAAGTGAAAATTAAAAGATACTTCTAGATTATAAATCAGGACGTAACGTAACAAACCATAGCCTAAACAGAGCATGCGTTTTACTGTTTTGAGAAGTAAAGCTTGCAGAGAAAATGTAAGCTTAAGTTTAAAGTAATCTCCACTAACAAACTATACTCCTACAACACATCAATAGGAAATCCAAAATTCAATGTTTCGGACGCCCGTAGACGGCTTTTTCCCGACTTTTTAAGGGCTCAAAACGTGGTTCGAGTTATCGAGGGTAAAATTATATAGAAAATGACCTGAGGGGAAACGAAAATTGGTTCGAGTTAGCGGGAGTTCGAGTTATCGAGGGTTCGAGTTACCGAGGGTAAAATTACAGTGAATGTATGATGGAAATTCAGGGGAAATCGTTTTGGTTCCAGTTAGCACGAGGTTCGAGTTAGTGAGGGTTCGAATTATCGGGAGTCAACTGTATTTCTTCCTGTGATTTTTATATCTGTATTTGATTAAGATAATGCAATATCAAATTTAATAAATTACTGCTAGAAAAAGTGCAAGAGAAACTATCAATAAAAAGAAAGAGAGAAGCTGTGTTTTTGTCAATGATGCCCTCCAAAAAGGTAAAAAAAATACCAAAATATTTCTTCTATGGTTACAATAGGTATTAAGGCAGAAAAAGCAATTGCTAAAAAGTGTGTACTCTCTTCACAAAAAGGCAATAATATAAATGTACCTTAGCCATGAACATGGTGATAAAGTAATGTATGATTTTCAGGTAATAACTTTATGCTCAGATGTGCACACTGCCCAAAAAGTTTTAAGATAACACTCTTAACTACCAACAACGTTACATATACATATGTGATGACTTTTGACTACATTACATGCCGTTATCAAGCCATTCACTGGCAGGTAATTTAATTACTTACCTGCAAATTTCAACATAAATATTTTACTAAAAAAGTATCATTAGCATTATTATGCATACCAGCTCATTGGTTTAATGATAATAAATATAGGTCAGATCAACTTATATTTGGCACTTTTTACGGGGTACATACAGCTATTTGTGACTTATAGAAAGAGTATATGTATTGACAGCTCTTAAGCAGCAGTTTACCAAGAAAGAGTTTAAGACCCTTAAATATATATCAGGTTTAAACTTAAATGTATGTTGCTTTGTAAATGTCACTTCATAAATAATGAATAAGTTTATAAACACTGTTTCATGAATAACTGATGATTTAGATGTACCGGTAGGTCTGGAACCCTCCCAAGAATCTTATAATAAATTAATTTCAGAAGTGAATTGCAATTCATCAAAAAATGACAGACTGTTGGACCAAAGCTAATTGCAATGCTACAAATAGAAAACATTCAAAAAAGTGGCTTACAGCCAGGTACAAAGGGAGCGTCATGAATTTGGACACAGTTAGTTTTCGCCAACTTCAGCTCTTACATGTACACAGACCAGTAAAATTTTTATTAATATAGTTTCTCACTTATTATAAGTGGTATTTCATTTCTTGTTTGGTGGGGGAGAAGGGGGTGACTTTTCTTTTGCCCCATTTGCTTTTTTAAAAAAATTTATTTGTTTTGCAAAAAAATCTGTCATCAAGAAGCTACCAAAATTCTCTCAAGTGTCACCAAAATTCAAAGATACTGTCAAGAAGATTTGGCGGCCTACTATTTTTTGTGAGGCGACAAAAGTCTTTGTTCCTTAATGGTATACTTCGTTGGGTCATGTTATTTGGTGAACATGACCAACTATAGTTCCTTTGATATGTGACATTTTTAGTTACACAAAAACTTTTGCATGTCTTAGGTGCGAACAAGGTTACAAAAACAAAAAATTTGTAGGTACAGAATTTTCAATTTCTTTGCAAATGCCAAACTCTATTTTTTTGGCAATTAGTGCAAACAGGGCTTTTGCAAAGAAAATTTTCGTTTTATTTCGATTCCTTTCACACTTCATGTATTCTTAACAATTGAGTTTAATTTGCACAGTAAAGGAGTGTGATATTGGAATAATCACTTACAATTCAATCACGTCAGTAAGTTGGGGGCTGGGAGAGGGCTTTTTTGGCCATATAACACCATTTAAACAACAGAGGGAGTGAGTTTGTTGTTTCTATTTGTGCACTTTAAACACAGCAGTGTATTTTACACAGAAACAGAAAAATGTAAGCAAATGGCTCAAAGTGCGTCAAAAAAATACGCAGCTGGACAGGTTCCGTACGAAAAAAAATTAAGGCTTAAAGAACACACAAAGCAAAACAAAGTTATGAACAAAAGAATATCATGGTGAATACAATATCTCGTCAACATACGTAAATAGATCTAAATTTGAAATCGCTTGAAAATGCCTTTCGTATTTTGTTACATCAATTCAAAACACGAATCGCGAAAGAGCAGCTTGACACGACACCAGCCTGAGACACGATCTCTTCACATGATCGATGCACTTATAAAAATGTTATAGGCGTTTAATACCGTATGTAAAACGTTCCTTACTTGTAGTATTTTCACTCATAAGAAAACCCTACAGCTATCTTACGTTCTAAAAAGTATTAAATGCATTGACTTTTTAAGGCCGGCTACCTATTTCAAGAGTCGGAAACTTTGTTAACACAACCCGGCTTCCTAAGCTTATATAAAGTCCTTGCAGCGTGGCGCTAGCTTATTAACGTTATTCGTGTTTTAACAATCGATTGAAAGTAAGAGCTACGATAGATTGGTTACTTTTCTTCCCACGAAGAGGGCTGTGCTGTTTTCATTTAGTCTGGAAGTCAACTTCGATTGAGAGAATTCGCCGAGTCATACCATGGATATTAAACAACTGAACAACGCATTTGTCAACAAGTGTCGTGTAAGCGAGGGTCGCTTGCCTTTTCAACGATACAAAAATTTGCGTTTCACTGTCAAATCCTACCAGTCTTCTCCGCTGCACGAGAAACAACATTAATAAACGTATGCTTACCTTCATCATCATCATATGAACCATCGTCGTTGGGGAATGTGTAGCGTTCATAGTGGGCATATCTCCGTGACTGCCGTGATGGTGGTGATTGTCGTGATTCATTCTGAAGATGATTTTCACTTCCAATTGACAAAAGTTGGTGAAGACAAATAACTAGAGCGACAGTATAATAACCTATAAACTGCTCCCACAACACTTGCCTTCCCTTATAATTGAAAGAACATCAGTACCAGTCCTCTCTCGCCCCTCGGGAAACAAAAGCTCCGGGTTTTATGCACTTCCTAATAGTCAACATGCAACATCACGTACTACCTTGGCCCGGGGGTACTCCCTCAAATGGCCTCTACCGGGAGGCTCAACCCAAAAGGGATACCTTTTTCAGGCCTCAGGTATATGAAAGGATAGGAATTTCATTATTTGAAGTATATATATGAAAGAGCAGGGAAATCTATAATTTCGGTCTGTAAAAAGACCCAAAAGGTCTGATGCATTTTATGCCTATGAAAAAGTCGAGAAAACGTTTTAGTATTGTGATTTATTCATATTTTAAAAGATAGTGCATTTAAAGCAGTTAAAAGGAATGGGGGATGCAAAGCTCTAAACAAGGTATGTGAAAGGGTATCATTTCTCTATATAATAATATATGGGGGTACCTTTTCTCTCAAAAAATGGTTAGTAAAAGGGTACGGAGTGGGACTTCGGAGCGTAGCCTCCCTGATTAATACTTTGTTGAGTAACCCCGGTACCTTGGTAAAAAACAAGTGCGTTTTCGTTCTCGACCCAAGAGCCCTTGTAAGGAGGAGAAAAGCCTTCAGTCCTTAGCCTGCGTGGCAGTCGCCGAAAGGGGAGAGGGAGGGGGAGGGAAAAAAAGCCGAACCCCCCTCCCTTTTTCCCTTCCTTCCCCCTAGCCTTTTCAATGCCTGCTAGGCAGGCTTTCGATCCTGCACGGCCAAGACAATAACGACCAAATTAAAAGTTCTGCAGTCAAGAAAAAGCCTATAGATAAATTGTCGTCTTTGCTCAGCACCATGCCCATCCGAATTAAATCAGTCTGGTGATTTAGCCTGCCTAGCAGGCGCTTGGAAATAGTGGGTGAAAGAGAGAACGGGCGCACGCGAGGGAGATACGTTATCTAGTGACTCTATTCTTGAGTGCCACCAATGAGAAAAGACCATTTCATATCATGCCGTTACTAATATAAAGAATTGGTGCAGTCAACTATTCTATCTGTTTCATGTTCTCCCTTTACTTTGCTTATCTGCAGTTTTCTGACGAAACCCCTTTCTTTCGCAACTGAGGGCACAAAAGATAATATCGTTCAATTAAATAATTACCGGATATTCCTTTTTAGCTGAAACAACGCGTTTGTATTTGGCGTTCTATTCAGTGTTATCATCCGAAAAAGGAACTAACACTGATATCGAATTCAGTTTTTCAGAAAGATTCACATCCTCTAATAACCTAACTTTAAGAAGATATGTCTTTATATTTGATTGATATGAGAAGTATGCATAAAATACTAGATCCAGTTTTTGTTGTCCCTTATCCATGGCAACAAGATTAGTCTGGTATACTAGGCCATTTTATGAATTGCAAACTGCTATCTTAGATGTTCATCATACCTTTAATTATGGTGTAAATAACTCTGTCATCCGCAGAAGCTCCATTTCCAATTCCATGTAATAATTTTTAGAAAAGGCTCGTGGCGGAGCAGAGAGATTAAAATGTCATCTTATTTTCGCAGTGGCAGATCCAGGAGAGGGGCCTGGGGTGGGCCATCCAACCCCCCCTCCCCCCTTATTTTTAGACCAAACTGAAGCAAGAAGGGCGGAAAAAATTTTTTGAGACCGCCTCCCCCCCCTCCCTTATCTCAGGGTCTGGATGACCCCTTCCCCCCCCCGTTAGGATCCGCCACTGTTTTGTCCCATTCCCTGTGAAGCCGCGCTTTACAACAACCTCTTCAACATGTTCAATCAGGAGAAAACGTATCGCAATTAAAAACCGATCATGTGAATTTTCAATACCGGGTTCGATTGAAAAAAAAATGATTTGGAAAACTAGGTAAGTAAGAAAACTTCGACAAAGTCATATCACTTTTGAGGTTTACCTCTGCAATTAGTCTTAACTATCATTTATGCAAGATAGCCTCCCGCGCAGGTGATCTTAGGGGTTGGTCTGCGTGGGAGGCTAATGGCAAGACGGACTTGTCAGTTTGTACCTTTTTGGAATCTCTAAGACAACACTCACGCTTCCGAGCATAATCAGTTTCAAAAGGCCCCTCGTAAAATTAATGCTTTCAGTATGACTAGAAGTTATCTGAATAGTTACTTCAACCAAAGTTTAGAAGACTTTCGAAACTCATGATCAGTACATCTTTAGTTACGCATTGGTGCTAAAATTGGGCCTTTGTTGTTTCGCCTTGCTCCCAATTTGCCCTGAAGCGATACGAAAATAGAGCCTGATTGAAGCTTTGATTGACGGGGCGGCTATTTCAGTTCTTAGTTAGTCAGCTGTGGACAGGCGACACGCCTCAGGCATGATTCCCAGAATAAGTTTGAATCAAGCATCGGCTCCTATTATTGCCTGTTGCCTTGTTAAGCCAATCAAATTCTCCCAAACGCCAACCACACAAGCCAACTTCCCATGATATTGGCAACCGATCTGCGTCACTGACGTGGAAGGCATATGCTTTGCTGCATTGGCCTTTGTTTCGAGACAAACAGACATGACATATTTGCGATCGTTAAAATAAATGGCAATATTATTTGTCAGTGGTCTTAGGACTGCCTGAATACGTCTTTTGTAGCAAGCTTTCGATTATGTAGCAAAGCGCCGCAGACCAAAAACCAGACTTTAGAAGAAGCAATATCTGAATATTTTGGATCATGATATAAACCCTGACAAATCCAACTGTGATAAAATTATAACTCATCTTGGTCACAAGATCGTGAATGCTCAGCCGTCAGTTCTAATTCCAAGCCAGGAGTAATCGGCTCCTGTCAAAGCCCATAAACAAGTGTTTTAAAAAGGCACTGATATTCCGGGGGAGAGGGGTAGTTCCATAAAAGTAGGCACAGTGGAACCCCAGTCATTCGAACTGTGAAGGGAAACGAAAGCCAGTTCGAGTTAGCAAGGGTTCTAGTTAACGGGGTCTATTGCAAAATTCAATTTGCCACATCAAGAATTGATAGTGACTGATTTTTCAGCACTTCAGTGAACGGTGCAGGTCAAATTTTAAAACTTAAGGTATTTTAGGCCTTTTTAAATTATAAATATGATCTGTTCGTTGCACCAATTTTAGTGTTGACCAGTATTTTAGTGCTTTTAACGGCTGGTGGCGAGTGCAGTTACAAGAACCAGAATTCGAGTCATTGGGGTAAATTTCAGTGAATTTTTGATCAAGGGAAATGAAATTTAGTTCGAGTTAGCGGGAAATTTGAGTTATCCGAGTTCGAGTTAACAGCGTAAAAATGACTGAAAAGTGGGGTGAAATCCAAGGGAATTTGGACTTAGTTCGAGTTATCGGGCCGTTCTACCAAGGAGGAAAAGGGATCTACTGTGTATGTCAAACACCAAAGGATATAATTTCTGCTAAGCTGTTTTCGTATTTAATTGGATATAGTTTGTAAACTGTGTTGTTCCGCTATAAGTTACACTTTGCTGTAGAATTGGACGACGGAACGTTTTTCGCTTTTTAAAGCGATTAAAATTGATGAGACAAGAGAAAATCTAACGAGAAAATGAACAATGTATGGAACAAATCAAAATGCGCAGGGATCAATGCCATGGGCCTCTAAGATCCAAGCGTGACATTTTTTTCATAATTCGCTTCTTCTTTTTTTTTCGTTTAGATGTTTAGTTCTTTCTGTCTGTTTCTGCGCGCCTCCTCGTTAGCGTCTCTTTGCTTTTTCATCTTCATTAGCACCTTTGTTAGTTTTCTTTTCTGCGCATTCCACCGTACTTATTTCGGCAACGCAGTTCTACAGTACAAGTTTCAGGTAGTTTATTTTGTTCCGCGCTAAGGGCAGTTCTCTTCCGTGCGGCGCAGTTCTATTCATTTTCAACGTTTACTCGCGTTTTACGCAGCAGAGACCGCTCCCATTCAGCTTTTCTCTGGCCATAACAATGAATGTAAGTGTATCAGTGTCAGCAGCAAAACAGCGTCAAAACAATAAAGAAATACACAGTTCAAAAGCAAATATCGTTGAACATTAAAAAAGGGAAAAATAGGAAAAAAGAATAAAGTTTGGTGCAATATTCAAGTTTCGTGAGGTCCGGACGGAAACAGTAATTTTGTTTCCCTCAAATCTCAATGCCCCGAGGGAAATATTGAGATTAGATGTCATGTGACCTCGAAGTAACTATTTAACCAATGAGAGCGCGCTTTCAGGAAGAAATTTCCAGCTACACAAACATCATTTGTTTGAGCGGACTTCATCAGTTTTTGTGGCGTTGATATTTCGGCCCCGAGAGTTCCCCGCCTACCTTAGTATCAGTCCCCTTAACGGACAATAGGACAGACACTTCCCTTATTTAAACTAATACCTACAATTCATTCTACATTTCTTCACCTTTTTTTAGTTTTTTCACACTCAACACTGCAAACACCTTTCCTTCGAGCCACCAAAGCAACCCCTTCAAATCCAGTCCCTCCGGTTTAGTAAATATGTTGAAAAGAAACAATACATTTGAAGATAAAGTTCTTTTTAATTTTAAGTATTACTGATTATTTAAAAAATTAAAAAGTCTTGTTAACATTTTGTTGCTTATATTTACATACGGCTTTCACCTAAAGAAATTGTTGACGTATGAGTTAGAACTACCGCATTCATTTGAAAAGAGATTGCATTTATCGAATTTATACGACGGATACGCACCGAAACTTAAAAAGAACACGCGACGAGTCGACTCAAAAGTTCACAGATAGAAACATCATCTGATTTCTATCACTGTTGAATATGCATGCAAACCTTGATAATGTTGTATATCTTGATAATTTTTATAGTCCGCTTCTTATCGCAAATTTACCGAATCTATCATGTGAGCGCATTTTACACTTTTTTCCCATCTTGCAATAAACAGGCATCTGGTCTTCAAATCTCGTTTCAACGATGATTTAAGTGGTTAAAACTGCAATGACTCGGTTGACAAAGATTTCTTTGCAAAAATGACCCTCTCGTTTTCAGCCTTTGTCGTCAAAAGAAAGTGTTTCAGGGCAAGTGTATTTACACAGCAAAGTGCAGGAATAGTTTGTCTTACGCAAGAGTGGGCCATTTGTTACTATTCAAAGTTTAGGTTGATAGGATTTCCCTGAATAAACCTATTGACACAAGATATTGACAGATAATCGAGACACTCGTTTGTTCAACCGTTCTGCTTGTATTCTGATGTAAAAAAGAATTGTTAGTGAATGAACTAAGGTGCGTTTATCGCTTAACGCACTTGTTTTCTTTACAAATTTGGCTTATAGAATATACCTATATAAAATTTGACCAAGCACTGAACACCATGCAAATAAAGCAAGCAAGAGAGCTGAGAGGTTTTTCGTGGAAGTCGACTGTTACGCTTCTATATTTGATTTCGTTACAATGCTGACAGAATTGTCAACTGCTGCAGTCGCTGGGGAACTCATGATTGTTTCTTCTAGTTCACGACGAAGATCTTGGTCCGATACAGGATCTCCTCTTTTGCGAGATAAAAGCGACGGTTTGATATCTCGTCGGAGTGCAAGGATAAGCTATGTTGCCGTTCCAGGGAAAAGCACAGAGAGGATAAAAATCAACGTTAGTGGGAAAAAATACGAGCTAACGTACTCCAGGCTGTTGAAATTTCCGAAAAGTCTGCTCGCTCAATCAAGACGAAGAGCGTTTTTCTACGACGAAGATAAGGACGAACTTTTCTTCGATAGAAACCGAATCGCATTTGAAAGTGTGTACCATTTTTACCAAACCGCTGGCGAGTTTCTCCAACCTGAGCATATTCCCCACGAAATTTTGACGAGAGAAATGCAATTTTTTGGTCTCACGGAGTACCTATCGAAAGACACAACAGTTCGCAGGCCTAAACGTAGTATACGCCCAAGTAACCGGTACCAAAGAATGGTATGGGAACTCTTTGAAAATCCCGGGGCTAATATTGTCGCTCGCATTGTTAACTTGCTTCTTTTACTATTGATTATTTTGTCTGTCATTTTACTGTGCATTGAAACCCTTCCAGAGTTTAGCGACGCAAATATGTCGCCCGTTTCGAGGAACGTGATACCTGAAAACGAGACGGTAAACAAGACTCTCTACAACAAACAGCTCCATAGTGATCATAAAGAGGCAAACTACACTTCATCGAGCAAACTACAAAAACTCTTCATTATCGAGGCATTCTGCGTTGCCTGTTTTACGTTAGAAGTGCTAATCCGTTTCGCAGCCTCTCCTGATAAGCTGCGATTTTTCCGGAACCTTCTTAACGGTTTTGATCTTCTTGCCGTCCTGCCGTTTTACGTTACCATCTTAGTTTCCACTCTTCCATCTTCAGTACAATCCGCCTACGTTTTGCGCGTGTTCCGTCTTTTGCGTTTACTCCGTTTTGTAAAAATTTACCGCTACAGCTCCGCTGCTCAGATATTTGTCCAGACCATACGGGAATGCATCAGTGATATTTTAACTTTGGCTTTCTTGATCCTTATGACCACGGTTGTTTTTGCAAGTTGCAGTTATTACTTTGAACAGGAAAACCAAGGAACCAACTTTGTGAGTATTCCTGCAACCTGCTGGTGGGCTGTTGTGACAATGAGTAGCGTTGGGTATGGAGATATGGTTCCTGTCACCATTGGTAAGTTGCAACTATTTTTAGTTTTCTCTCTACACTAAATCTGTGGATAAATATGCTTGCATAAACATGCGTTATTATTCACTTAAAATGTTTCTCCATTTCTGATTGGCTCAACATCCCTGGCTAATTCTTCATAACCAGCTAGCGTTGACCAGCCTGCTTCGAGTTTTGCCTCTGGCGCAAGCTAGTGTTGACCAATTTGGCAGACGTTTGGGTTATCCGGGAAAATTACGTCAATAATAGTACAGGCCATCGGCAGAAAAAGGGTCGCCAACCGAGATAGACTAGGAACGAGGTTGCATTAGCTCAGTTGTTTTAGTAGAGTTGGAGAAAATGGCGGAATATTTCACACTGAATTCTGCAAAGCTGATCGCACTACGTGAAAAATAACTTTGCAAGACATCAACACGACACCGAAAGAACCAAAAACAGAGCAGGATCGTAGCCGTAGACAGCTGTTTCGCCCTTTTTGGGGCTCGTCAGGACGGCGCAACGGAATATTTCACACGTTTTGCGAAGAAGAAATTCTGAGCTCACAGTTGTGTCGCACGTCACTAAAGCATTACTTGCTGTTTCAACCTCGTCTCCCAAGATCTTCTCGTTTTCCGATATGAAAAGAGAAGACCCTGGGGACGTGGTTGCAAGAGTTTAGGAAATGAGGGGGCGGCTGTACACAGGCTGACGCGGAGAGCGTGCGTGTGATAGTAAGGGGGCCGTCAGAGTTCTTTCTCTCTGCTCTCATTTTTCTTTAGCCGCGACAGAGGCCTCTGTTAGCAGGGAAGCATGGATAACTTATGAACATTAACTGCAAAGGACTGCAAACGAATATGCCTCAGAACGTACTCAGAGGATCTATAGAAGACCTGATAGGCAAAAATATACCGAGTGGACCTATTGAAATCTGATCGTAGACATCACACCGATAGAACCTGCACTTTATGAGCCAATCGAGGCAAACGCGCAGTTTGCGCGAAGTGCGAGTCGAGGGGACTCCTGCGATTCGTGTAGAATGCCGCGTTCACCTCGTTTGGCTCATAAAGCGCCTGTTATGCAGGTTAACAAAACCCAACACAGTTTCTACAATGCAAGTTAGGAATTATGGACCTACTGTTCGTTTCATAGCTATAGAGTTAACTGACTTGACAGTGATGCATTTTGACCTTGATCTTATATTCAAATACTCCTTATTACAGCAGGTAAAATATCTGGAGCACTTTGCGTCATATTTGGAGCAATCATTATAACACCACTGCTGCCAATCATAGGATCAAAGTTCAGCAGGATCCAGGAACAAGCAAAACTCGGGAAGATTTCACCCACGGAAATAATTCCCGGTGAAAGTTCATCTACGTCTGAAGAATCAGTTGTGATGAATGCTAATGTGGAGAGTCAGCTGACTCTTTCCGTTCGAAGCCACAGCGCACGACCGAGAAGCGTGTCCATTCTTTAGACCGAAACATTCTGAACTACATTTTGTAATTAATGTTAAGACTTTTCGCATCTTACTTTTTTGCGAGCATTTCAAAATCTTGCAGGAACCTAAGCAAACACAAGCTAGGGTGCCAATGTACAATCGTGTATTGAACAATGCCCCTGCGGAAACTCAGTGTTTCTGTTAGTTTACAACGTCTTACAATTATGTGAAGTCCAGGTTTTTTCAGTTACTGTTTTATCTGCTTCTTCTTGCTACCTTCATTGTATACACAAAAGATAGTCTAAAGTTCGATGTTTAGGAGGAAAGACTGAGTTAAAAAAATCAGTGGACGTAACTTTATTTGAAATATTGAAAAAGAGTGCAATAGCCATTTGCACGATGGCGTCATTTTGCTACTATGACCAGGATCCTTGAGGGTTTTGCAAGTTTCTTGTGCACACTAAGGCTTTTGTCATTTAAACCTCACTGGGGCTTCCAAATTTAAATATGAAAAGAAAAACGAAAAGAATTCTGATCGTAATAGTAAGATGACGCCATCGTGCAATTTATGGCCTATTACTCAGATCAATCTACAGCATATCGTGATGTAGTTTTGTTGTTGTTGTTGTTTGTCTCCAAGTTCTCTAGCGTCTGTACAATTATTCTCAGGGTTAACCTCTCTATAGGCCATTTGCAGTTGTATTAAGGGACTCTAGCAAACGGCCAGCCGAAAATATTCTTGCAGAAACCTCCGACGGTCTCTTGTGGTGCCTTGGAGGCACAAGCAATCGACGAAGCCACTTGCCACTTGCAAAAAGAACGGATGAAACCCTACGAGCAGAGGCGGACTACGTTTTTACTACAGATTATAATTTATTATCTGCGTCAAGATTTTATCATCTATGTGAGAAAAGTTACTATTTAAAGTTTAACACCTTTGTCAGGTTTAAAGGACTATGAACGAGCTTTGTGAATGACTAACACCTTCCGTCGTAGAATGAAAACGTCTTCATGAATATAGGGCGCTTTAGCAACCACGCAGTCTTTTGTACATCATACTTTTGTTTTCCTACTATAGTGTAAAATGCCTCACCTTGATTCTCCATTTTTCCAACAAAAATGCTTGGTCACCCCCCAAACGGTTACTAAAATACTCCGACGATGCTCACCATACGGAGCTTTGTATTATCAATTTTTTTTTTCAATTCAACTTTAAGTCTTTATTTTCTCTCAATTTTATTTGTATTTTTATTTCTCTGCAACATAAATTCTGGGAAAATGTCATTAAATTTTTCAAATAATGCTGAGCCCTCTGGCATCACTAAAATGCTCGAAAAAGCCAAGCATAATGTGTAAAAGCCAACAAAAATGAAGACGGCGAGTCAATATAAAAATGAATTCGCATTTTTCAAACTTATTAATTCGTCTCTGTCCCGACACGCTCAAAATAGCAAATATAGTTGAGTTTCCCTGGAGTTGAACTCCTTACCCAGCAAAAATTCGTCGTTGCGTGGTTACTTCCTCCATATAATGTTAATATATATACTCCCCCTTCGAGCAACGCCGTGGTCGTGCACGGATAGCAATTAGGAATGTATCTATTGCTTTTATGAAGTTCTCGTTGTTGCCGTTGCTTAATCTCCCTGGATTTATCTTCGAAGTGTGTAAACGGTTGGGAATCTGAATACGTCTTTAGTAAACTAACTGCAAATTTACCGCAGCAGGATTACAGCTGGTAGAGCGCTTGACAGCAGGGAGGGTAGACTGCACGAGAGTCTACAGAGCGGGAGGCCGGGGTTCGAATTCCCGGGGCCGGACCAATACTCAGGGTCTTACAATAACTGCGAAATTAAGGTACTCCCTTTGCATTGCAAGCGGCTGGACCTTCAAGTGGCTTGGATGAACACGTAAAATGGCGGTTCCCGTCTCCAGTAGGAGACGTAAAAATAGTCAGTGCTGTCCCGGATAATCCGGGAGACCCCAGATTTTGGAACGTATCTCGCGGTCTTCAGATAAGATAGAATTTCTCAAAGTCGTTCGCATGGTTTTCTTGTCTGGTGTGGTAGGACGCGGCACGAACGACGAGCTTTCGCTCGCTCGCTCGCACTTCGCGCTCGGCGCTTGTACGATCGCGCTTCGCGCTCACTGTCGCGCTACGCGCTCAAAAGCTCGACTTGTGAACAAGTCTACAGATAAGAGTACGAAATCTCCCGAATAATCGCCGAAGTTTGCACTTTCTTCAATTCAGTAGACTCGACTTTCCGACAATGTTAAAATTTCAACTATTTTGCGTTGTTTGAGCGATTTTAATGCTAACATCGAACGCTTCCTCATAAACTCGGGTATGCAATTGTAACTTGATAACAATGTGATTGGTGGGAAGTAAACCAACCCGCAGGTCAAATCTTACTATGCCAACAACATCACGTTTCCCGTGCGTTTTGTGTCACCGCAAATTAGTGGCGATCAGAGTTAACGAGTATTTTTTGCACAAATGACGTCATGTGCCGTGTGTTTTGACGTCATCTTTTATCTCTTCTCTTAGTTCCCTATCAATTCTCAATAGGGGGCTTCAGCAACGACGACGGCGAAGTCAACGAGAACGACCAAAAAGCAGTGGGTTAAGATTGGCAAAACAACAACTCGGCACGTGTATCACGCTTTTTTGTACATTTCTTTGCCGTCATTGTACGAGTACGATATCAAAACGTGAACACAAGACAACAACTTTATTTTTCTTTCGCTGAACTTCGATACAGTCTTTTACAATTAAACTCCCCCCAACAAATTGCCAATATTTAACGAACTGAACGAGATGGAATAAGCGCGATAAAGTTTGATGAAGCGCGACTTCACTTTTTAAGTGACGTTTTCGTTGCTGTCGCCGTCGTTGTCGCTGAAGCTCCCTAATATTTGAAGACGTGGGCCAGTTGTTGACAACCCTGATTCTGAGTGTCCCCAGTTAGTGCTTTTGAGCAAAATACTTTGACATTCAAATAAATTGCATCAAAAAAGTGCATTTTTTAAATCCGATCATTCGCAATGAAATAAATCCGCAAGCATTCATGAATCTAGAAAAATCTAGAAAATCATCTTATTAAAACATCTTTAACAGGGTGGTTCGACTGGCTCATCTACATTCTTATCGCAAAATGGTAGTCCTGGCTGGAGTACACTTCTTCCTCATCACGTACACTCCAAGCTGTTTCCCTCTGTCTCGCTCTTTGTTTAGAGTCCTTCGCACAAACGGCATTTCTTTCCGCCTTCTTCCCTCACCCCCTCCCCCATCACTTTCTTTTTCGTCTTCGGTTCAGCTATCGCGCGACTGTATCTCTTTCTTTGCGAACCTCTTTTAATCATGCTTATATGAACCCTATACGAACCACAAATGAAAAACGCACTAAAAAAACCCGCCAGCAACGCAGACTACCACCAAAAATCTACCGAAGTGAGTCAACCCACTCCGATAAGACTGGGACGAGTGACTTCGTGGACGCCTTACAATTCTTGCAGTCAACAGAAAATCAATCGTGAAGCGCGATGCATTCTGTTTCAGTGTTAGGGGAATTCGTGACTTGGGTATGTCACCAATACCACTATTGTTTCCTTGAACAGTACCCTCAACTTTTGCTCATGCTATGAAAAGCAGCGAAATCAAAAAAGAGAGAGTTAAAAACATTGGAAATTGGACGTCATGCATGTAAGTAAACGGGGGGTGACAACTCTAACAAAGGCTGTTTGGGCAGTCCTATGAATAACCTCATGTCCTCCCGGAAATTTCGTCGACTCTCCCGAATTTTTCGGTGGCATTCCCTACAAATGTTTAACTTCCCAAAATTGTTTTAACAATTAAAATTAAAATTTTGATTAGAGATTTTTTTTGCAGCTTCTTTTTAATTATGTAACTTGTTAACTATCTAATCTTAGTTATTTTTTCGTTTAGAGGGTATCATGGTAACACAGAAAGACTGTCAAACTTTTTGCGTATATAAAATCGTGTTTTTTGTTTTTTAATCACCAATGAATCAGGCGAGCAGTGAAGGGGCCAACCACTTGGGGGGTCTGGGGGCATGCTCCCCCAGAAAATTTTGAAATCTTGGTGCTCTGAAACGCCATTTCTAGTCTTCTGAGAGGACAAATTCTGTCTAAAATGTTCTCTAAATCAATTGTCCTTTTTATGCTTATTTTTATTGCGTGACTTCGCGTAGAAGTTGTCAATTTTATTTTATACAAGTTGTGCGGTTTTTGAAATTGCTCTGGATATCACTTTCAGCTAAGTACACTCTATGTGGTGTCGTTGTATGAGTATCATAAGAATTCATTTGAAAATTTCAGAACAACTGTCGAAATCTGAAATTTTCCTATCCCGAACGCATATTGATCGGGATTCGGGATTTTCCAGCAAAATCGGAAGGACCTCAGCCGTTTTCAAGTGTCAAAATACATAGAATACAGCGCATACACTGGGTGCATATCACTGTATATATATTGTTTGATAACATGTAATATCAAATCTTTGCTCAATGTCCCGAAAATATCTCATATTTCCCTAAAAATTTCCCAGGTTTCCCGATTCCCGGCAAAATCTCCAGATTCCCGGAATAAATTTGTTTTTCTCCCGAAACAACCCTTGTTAGAGCTGTCACCCCCCGTTAAGTAGGCTTGTACACAGTTGAACCTTTAAGTACGACTACCTCCTACTGTCAGGGGCACCCAACGTCAATTTTCGGAAAATATCTGTTCGGAAGACGATTTGAGATCTAGAATTTTCGGAACATTTGTTGTAAAATTTCTTACTTTCCTGCCCCTCCTAGGATTTTCGAACATCTAGAGAATGGTATAACTGCGCATTTTTAACGAAGTTTTACCCTGAAAATGTCACCTGGAATTTTCGGGAGCCTTTTTTTTTGGCTAAAATTTTCGAAAAGGTAAGTTTTAATCCCCATAATTTCCGGATCACTAGACTTTCAGCTAGGAAATCCGAACAGATGAAAAATTTTTAGGGGATAAAAATATGCCTGTATCTACCGTTTAAATACTAAAATACGTTTAACAATGTTAAAGTGGTTTTGAACTGTATTCTCGTTGGGTGCCCCGTACTTTATCAGTGACCACCTATCAAAGTACCCAGATTTTCCTAGTCAAAGACCCATAATTTAATGGAATCTCTCATAGACGACCGTCTCTTGTAAGCGACATCAAACCTTTTTTTGTGCTGACGGTTTTATAATTTTCCATTGTTTTTATTCTTTGGTAAACCACATGGCCTGATCTCTTTGTTTGCTGTTTGTACTACCGCTCCTGGCCTCACAGTGTACGAAGAATGTTCACTGACAGCATGCATCTACACATATCAGTACTTAGAATTTGCATGCAATATCCTCTTCCAAAATGTAGGTGTGTAGGGACCTCTTCTTGGAAGAGACCCCCGGTTGTGGGTCGATTCTCCTAAGTAACCACCTCCTGTAGGGACCACTAAATGTTTGCATTTTGGGTGGTCGCTGTCTGGCGGGGTGGGTGACCTACTGTGGATATCGTCATGAAAGTCCCTACTTTGTTCTTTCTTTTCTTGTTCTTCTTTTTTGCGTATTGTGTGGCATTAAAAGTGTAATGAAAAGCATATTTAGCACTATTTCGGCTGCTGGATTTAGCCCAGTTTGCGTGAAAATAATTGGGCCATAGTATGGAGCTGAAACTTTGATCTATCGGCGGGGAAACCGTCAATGCCCATGCAGCTGCCCATAACTGCCCGTGCAGATCCACGTCCCTTCTACCACTTGTAAGATCATCAGTTTTAATGAACAAGGACAATTTTGTCTGCTAACTTGTGCAAATAGGGTAACTACAGAGAACAAAAGTTTTTGTTGTTTTCTATTGGTAGCTCAAATGGCAGCACAACATTACATGGAAGAGGAAAAGCTTTATTTTCCCATTTGGAAGTCAGTAAAATGTCAAAAAGGCCCTTTAGGGCAAAGTGTCTCAAGTAATTTTATTGCCGATGGTAGCTTCAAAATATGTTTTTCAGCAAAATTTCCAGAGGCGAATGGGCAAAGTAAAGTACCAAGCTTTTTGTGAAAAATCCATTTTCCAGCACAAAACAGCGAAACCTGGCCATTTAATGTGAAATCAGGTGAAAAAAATCGGCAAAAGGCAATTCGCTCTTGAGCCACCAATAAAAACACTGTCCGTGCACATGCACCTACCCTCTACCACTTGTGACGTCATCAGTTTTAATGGTCAAGGACAACTTTGTCTGCTAACTTGTGTACAGTGAAGAGATCTTTCAAACCATACCAGAATGAGCATAATTCAGTCAAGGACACTGGAGAAAAGGCAAAAAACCTTGTAGCATTGACCCGAAATTTTTCATGAAAATTCTGTTCCACTATCCACCTACCTTTCCATTCTTCTAATCCTAAGATACTAAAAGCTTTTCTAAAAACTATTCCCTCAAAAATGAAGCCTACTAAATGCCCAGCAAAAGAAAAAAAAAATGAGGCAAGAAAATTGAAAAAAGAGGGGAGGAGAGAAAGCGAAAAGTCTCCCTGTCTCCCTGTGCCAAAAATTTTGCTTTCCGTGCATGCCGGAACTTCACAAGCTAATATTTTGCATCTGGATCAGAAGGCTGTGAAGTGTATATATGACCTGTAAATGGCTTTATGGTAAATTTTAGCTCTTTATAGCATGACAGTGACCAGAAAACTGCTCTAGTTCAAAATGCATTTTTGGGCAAAATTTCGAGGGCCAAATGGTTTAAAGTTCAATTTTCTTGACCCAAGGGGGTACTTCAGATTTCAAGTGATGGATATGATCGCAAGGGGACAAAAATCAAAACCCAAAACATTTGCGGGACCAAAAATTAATGCCCACCATGCCAAATTTCTGAACCTTAAAAATTCCCATGAGAAAGAAAAACAAGTTTTATTGTACATGTACTTTATTTGCAGAAATATGTGGCTGGCATACATGGGCAGTACTACCACGAGTCTTAAAAAATATAATGTCACAAGAGCGTGTTCTATTGAAATGACCTGATATGGTCATTTTTTATTAAATTAAATCAATAGAAAGTGACTGTATCAGATCATTTCCATAAGAGTTTCTTGTCACTGTGCAGGTGTGGTTATTGATAATTATTTATGGGAGACAGAAGATCAGGGTTACGTAGAAATTTGATTGATGCTATCGCTGATCTCTTCTGGCATGCTCTATATTTATATCATATTTTTATTAATCTACTCTACATGAATTCCTGGTATTTTTTTCCACTCTAGATGTCATTTTTTGCTTCAAAGAGTGTTTCAGATCTGTTGTTTAAAGGATGGACAATATCAACAGCTGGAGGTAAGCAGTGCTTTTCATAGAATTCACTTTTCCCAAAAAACACATCTTGATGCTTGTCTAGCCATTTTTCTGGCCACTTTGTGGTAAAAAAATCCAAACTATCTATGGCAAAAATGTTGTTTACATGAGGTCAAACACTTTGCAGCCTCTGATCCTGATGCTAAATATCAGCTCCTGAAGTATGTGCTTGCCTAGAGGGTAAAATTTGGGGAGATAGTTTTGGGTTACCGTTTGTTTTTACCCCCTTCTCTTCTTTTGCTTATCTTTCCTGATTTCTTTCTTTTTAATGTAGAGCATTAGTTTTTATTACCGGTAGGCTTCATTAAGCTCAGTGGGAAAAGATGTTGGGAAAACGTTTAGATTTGATTACAGAATTAAATGTAGATGGAAGGCAGTGGAGATCGATGGGTGGGGGAATTTAGGGAATTTTCAGGTCCACTTTTCATAGTTTCTTGGATCGTCCTGTGCCTGTTTTACTAGGTGTGGTTTGAAAGATCTTTCCCCTCAGCAAAAATTAGATGTCAAAGTTGTCCATGACTGTCAAAACTATGACATCACGAGCTACAAGGGACATGGTTTCACATGGGTTATCATAGACAGTTCAGGATGAATTGATTAAAATTACCTTACTGGTAATTATACTTTCACCAGACATTTTTTGTTTAAAATACTGATAATGACTTTGAATACATAAAGATATTTCAAAATAATTATTGTTCATTAAAGTAGAAGAAAGTTCATCTTGAAGACATCATAAAGAATTATTTGTCATTTATAAGACCTACATAACTGTATATATGCTGGTATATAAAGTTAATGGTGCCTTAATAAGTACACATTGATGCCAAGAAATATTGTTATTAACTGTTTGGCTGTGTGCATAGAAAAAACAGGGCCTTACTTATGGCGCTTAAGTTATATTATTCAAAATTATGCCAGTAATAAATAAAAACATAATGTTCTAATTTCAGGAATGGCTGGATCCTGCATTGCAGTAATTTTAATAACTATTCTTTTTGAGACTCTGAAGTCTTACAAGCCTAACCAACAAAAACCACACAAGGAAAACAGTGAAACAACTCCACTGATTAGACGGCCAAACCAAGACCTCACCAGGTACAAAATATGTTACAAGATGCTAAAATTTCATCTTTATTTTTGATTATTCACATTAATTTTGTGCTAACAATAGTTACAAGGGTTTTGTGTCTTTATTGGTTTGATTGGGATAATTTTTCCCCAATAGGGGTGGGTTTCTCCTATCCTTTTTTTGATTCTGTGATCCTTCAAGCCTGACTCACAAATCCAGATAACACGTTCTTTAACACATGATATAAGGTGGCTAAACACAGTTTTGTGGGCAGTCAATGGTAACTCTCACGATGGCACATGTTTTAAATTAGACAAACAAACATGGCAGCGAAAAAAGCAATGGTACACAGAAGGTGATTTCTCAAAATCTACTCATTAAAATTTTGTGATATTTAGCAGAATTTTTACTTTTATCGTATTTTAAATAATGAGAACTTTAAAATGGAAGTTGAACAGATGAAATTTTGTGACACATTTAATAATTACAGTACAATTATATTATTGATTATCTAAAAACCTGTCTGTTAAAATTTGGTCAAATAAGTTCTAGATGGTAATGATTACTTATAGTAAGCTGTGTGAAAGTTTATAGGAAAATCTAATGAGCAAATTTTACATAAACTGAACAAAAGTAAAATTTTAAGGTTGTATTCAATCATTCATGTTGCCATGGGAACTGCAAAAACGTCGCATTTTACCTGTCAATCAAAATCTCTCATCAGTATATTTTTCTCTTGCCAAATTTTAGCTTGTGGGCTGCAACCTTTCTCTTGCCATGATTTGGCAAATGACATATACTCACAAACTGCCAAAACTGTGTTCAGCCACCTTAATAATGGAAATTATTCAGTTCAATCTCCTCCCAAAATTTTCCACTTCATGTTGACTTTAGGTCCTTTAACTGCATCACAAAACACTAGCTTTGGAAATGCTCAAAAGTTTTTGGAACACCCCTGTTTTGACAACATTCAAACATTCATACATTTTGACAACATTTGTAAGTCTTCAGGAAAATCATCGGAAATCTTCGGAAGTTACTGGGATGTTTCTAGAAAATATATGCCTGTCAAGACAAGACAAAAAATCTCACATATTTGACCGAAAATGTTGGTATGTGTAAATGAGTGAGCTAGTGAGGGCCAGCCCGCTGAGGCCTTTTCTTTAGGTGGGTGACACTCAACAGTGAACAGACTGACTTTGGGTTTTGGGTTTTGAAAAATAAATTCATGCTACTAATGAATTCTCTCTTTTCTTAGTGCATTTCAAGCCATTTCTCACCTCAAGACGACCCTTCTGTTCATAGCTCAGTTAATTATTGGATATTTTTTGATGCTGGTAGCTATGACGTATAATGTTTGGTTGTTCCTGGCTGTTGTTGGTGGTTGCGGCATTGGCTATTTTTTGGTACACCCATACATGGAGTATTATCTTGGACAACGCAGTGAACGCTCACATCCAATTTATTATATCAACAGAGACTTCACTGTATATTCAAGTGCCAGTACTTTGTAAGTAAGTTAATGAGTTGCTGGTGGAGATACATTCAAATTTACCGAAATTAATTTGATTATCACTTATAGCCAAATTCGTTGTATCGAGCTGTGCGTTTTGCAAACTACGAAGGAATTTTGGGTTTTTCTGTTCCATCAATATTCTTAGCAGACCTCTTAGGAGACATATGTTAATTGTGATTGCTGCATTTCGATCCACTTTGTTTTTGTTTCTGTGATCGCCCTGTTTCGTGCAATAATCGACTGAAACGTTTTCTTCCAAGATTTTCTGAACTTTCTTATTCTTGTCTCTTGCATTGGAAGAATATTAAAGCAATGCATGTCTGCCTCCTGCCCTCAACAAAAATGCCATTCATCATCGCGATTTGCTTCGCTATTCTTGAGCAGTCTAAAGTCATTCTCAGTTTTGTTTTTGCTGGCCAAGCTGAGCGAGTGTGTTGAATTGTGATTTGCATTAACTCCACCCAACTCAAATGATTGACGGAACAGAAAAACCCACTTGAAGTTTGCAAACGCGCAGCACAATACAACAAATTTGGCTATAATCCTTATGCCTCAGTAATAGGATTCTTTTCAAAAAAGGACAACCATAAAATACTTTATCCTTTCCCTAATGATAATCCCTAAAACAAAATTGAAAAAGATATTTTATTTGTGGATCGAAAGCTACAGTGTAGACATTTCATAAAGATCAGTAGCCTTAGAAAACAGCTGACATTTTGCAACCCCACCACTGCTGGTTTTCCCCTGAAGTGACGTCTGAGAAACGAGTGCAGAAAATCCATACTGATGACGTGTCACTAACCAGATCTAGGTAGTGCCTCTGACTGGTTGAAGCAAATTTTCAGCCAATCAGAAGCACTGGTTTCCCTGTAAAATGAGGAATGAGAAACAAGCACAAAAATTCCATACTGATGAGGTGTCACCGGGAGATCTAGTTAGTGTTTCTGATTGGTTGAAGCAAATTTTCATCCAATCAGAAGTACTACCCAGATCTGGGTAGTAACAAGTCATCAGTATGGAATTTCTGCGCTTATTTCTCCGATGTAATTTCAACGGAGAACCAGTAGTGGCGTTGCAAAATGTGGGCTGTTTTGTCAGGGTTCATAAAGAGTTGCTCTAGAAATTTCATTTGAAGGTTGTCAAATTGGAGTTTATTAACCCATATCTTAACTTTGGGGTTACTCAAGAAGGATTTGCATAGGAAGGCCTTGTTCCAATTTTTTTCATCTATTTTTTGTCTATTTTGCTGATTTTGAGATGCATCTACTTGTACATGTACTCTCGTGTCACACTAGCAATGTTTATGTTTTGTGGATTCTCAAATGTATGCATTATAAAGTTGCGGGCTCCAAACACCTGAGATCAGGGTCTGTTTTCTTTTCACTTGGAAAAGAATTCTAGCGTGTGACTACATAAAAGAGAATAAAAATAACAATTAATACTATATTTTATACTGCAAGAAAATAGATCACCTTAATGAAAAAAAAAGCTGTCAATGTAAAACTATAACACTGTTAAGTGCAAATAATAAAATATTAACAATAAGAAACAAATTATATACATAATAAAAACTTGGAAGGCTAGCTATAAGTGAGTATTTCAATGAAAAGGTGTTAAAAAAACCGCTTTTATGTTGCCTGTATTAATATTGGATAATAAAATTGGCCCATAATTACGGGATTTAAACAGTCATGTGCTACAAAAACACCTCACTAAGAGAGCAAATGATGCAGTGCGATCTTGAAAGAAGAGTATTTTGCAGAGATTTTAGAGTTGTAAAAATGTGTGTATAGAAAAAGCTCTTGTATCATAAAAGACACATTTTATTAAATATATTCATTTTGAAATGGAGTTGTTGTATGGATTTCTCTTCAAGTCTTGATGCAGATTGAAAACAGTTTTAAACTTTTTAGTCCACTCCAGTTATTTTTAAACATCACGGCACGTCGTGGCTTTTATTATACATACATACATACATACACCTTATTCGATGGTTTGGCATATAACACGTGCGTATATTTTGCGAGTTGCGTAGTTTTTTTCCGAGCCCCGCAGGGGCGAGGAAAAATACGAGCAATGAGCAAAATGTCCGCTCGTATTATATGCTAAACCATCGAATAAGAGGTTTATTATTCCACTACAAAAAAAATTATCTGGCAATTGGCTTCTATTTTTTGGTAAGAGTATTCAGAGACATCCTGATTCTGTCTGTGAGAATGACGTTAACAATTAGCAAAATGTTCGCGCGTATTATATGCCAAACCATTGAATGAGAGGTTAATTATTATCATGCCCTGTAAAGCCGTTTTCAAAATTAGGTAACTTTGAATGTATTTTTTTATTTGCTGTTCAGCGTAAAGGCGCAGGGCTAACTTGAAAAATTAGAAATGGCTGAAAGGATTAACGTTAATTGTGTAACTGTATGGCGAAAGAGCCCCCAAGGGGAAGCTATGCAATAAAGTATGTATGTAAGTATGTATGTAACTAATAATTTACCAAAAACGAGGTGGTGAAATAATGCAAACAGTGTGCCATAAAACAGTTGGAGAATCTTCTTGAGTCCATTTTTCTTAACGTAGTTTTAGTTTTTCTTAACAGTTTTCTTAACGTAGTCTTAGGCATTAAAAGCGATGTCATGGCAACGTGTGGTGTATTATTCATGAATAAAACGAGTCAGTCTTTTAGTGTATAAAGACCTTGTTTGTATGCTCCTGGAGTTGAATTATAAAACTCTTGAAATAATGAAAAAATGAAAATNATATTTTGCGAGTTGCGTAGTTTTTTTCCGAGCCCCGCAGGGGCGAGGAAAAATACGAGCAATGAGCAAAATGTCCGCTCGTATTATATGCTAAACCATCGAATAAGAGGTTTATTATTCCACTACAAAAAAAATTATCTGGCAATTGGCTTCTATTTTTTGGTAAGAGTATTCAGAGACATCCTGATTCTGTCTGTGAGAATGACGTTAACAATTAGCAAAATGTTCGCGCGTATTATATGCCAAACCATTGAATGAGAGGTTAATTATTATCATGCCCTGTAAAGCCGTTTTCAAAATTAGGTAACTTTGAATGTATTTTTTTATTTGCTGTTCAGCGTAAAGGCGCAGGGCTAACTTGAAAAATTAGAAATGGCTGAAAGGATTAACGTTAATTGTGTAACTGTATGGCGAAAGAGCCCCCAAGGGGAAGCTATGCAATAAAGTATGTATGTAAGTATGTATGTAACTAATAATTTACCAAAAACGAGGTGGTGAAATAATGCAAACAGTGTGCCATAAAACAGTTGGAGAATCTTCTTGAGTCCATTTTTCTTAACGTAGTTTTAGTTTTTCTTAACAGTTTTCTTAACGTAGTCTTAGGCATTAAAAGCGATGTCATGGCAACGTGTGGTGTATTATTCATGAATAAAACGAGTCAGTCTTTTAGTGTATAAAGACCTTGTTTGTATGCTCCTGGAGTTGAATTATAAAACTCTTGAAATAATGAAAAAATGAAAATCATATATAGGAGCTGTGGGGTGGAGAATGAAAGCAACTTTTGTAGTTGCGTAAAGAAATCAATCCCGTAGGAGTCTGAATTTTTCCAGGCTTTCTGTAACTGCAAAAGTTGAGTCAATAACTGGCTGCGATGGTATTCTTTCAATTTTTTCCAATAAACAACAACTTTATTCAACTTTAAAAATATGTACATAATTTACAGAAATATTTGAAGTAAGAATTAAGCACTATACAATATTAAGAATTATTAAAATCACAATTTAAAATACAATCACTGTGTCAATAACGATTTGCCAAATACTGACATTCCTTGCGGCTCAGATGCGATCAGAAACTCTTGCAGGCAGTCCAGTGTTTTAAATTAAGTCATGACAAAAGAAAATTATCCGTCTCTGATATTAAAAAGAAACAAGTTAAAAAGAATAAAATCTCGTATTCCTAAATTCCTCATTCTTTAAAAAAAATGCTAAAAAAATATTGATTCAGGCAGGCTCTAATTTTTATGCACGATATCAATATTTTATACCATAAGATCCCAGACATATATTTGACAAAACGCACGTCAAAGGTTTGATTCATTCATACCACACACGTCCTCGTCCACTTCAGAAAGTTTTATCTTAAACTTTCTAGATCAGAGATGCATCAATGTAAATCTTATTTGAATGCAGGAAGATCATAGCATTTATAGACACAACTTCTGCTGTTGCGAAAAGAAAGCCAGAAAAAATCTAGGCTTGCCGGGATTAGAACCCCATCGGTCTAACCTGAGATCAGGCCCAATTTTAGCGGTTCTCATACATTCTCTCTAACGACTGTGTCTAAAAGTACACACAAGTGACCACGAATGACCATGAATGACCACGAATGACCACGAGTGACCACGACACGAGCGACTACGAGTTAGAGTTCACCAAAACATGATTTTTCTATTATAATGACACCATTATTACGTCACTTAAAACTCTTTAACCGGAAATAGAACATTTCTGCCAATTAAATAATTACAAATGTAAAAAAGAACATGGAATTTTATTTACTTTCACCAAGGGTGGGTCCCGGACAAGTTGGGACCGGGGGAAATAGTGTAAACCCTTCAATTCCCCCTCATTTCCCAGCATTTTCCCGTCACAAAATGATATGCTACGAAATGTTATCGCGTTTCTTCCGGTTCTGCCATTTCCACTTTTAACCACTCTCGTTACCGTCCCGAGTAAAAAAAAAAAATACTGACTCGACAAAATGCATTAGAAAAAAATTGGGTCAACAAAAAGCTTCAAAGCAACTTTTTCACTTGTAAATAAACCAGGGACCACTTGCATACTTTACAGACGCAGCCTGGTCAATCGCTTTGTTTTCATACGTCTGAGTTTCCCTTATGCCAGGAGCCGATTACCCTGCTTATGCACAGTTCGAATGCTTGTCCTATTGGGGTTGGTCAAGGCTGCTCCCTACCCACCACGATAAGAATTATAAACAGACATTCGCCCTCTCGGCCG